CTCATTTTCAAGAAGAATGGGAATTCCAGAACACTTAATTGTGCTCATGAGGAACCTGTACATAGATCAGGAGGCTGTCATTGGAAGAGAACAAAGGGATACTGCATGGTTTGAAATCAAGAAGGGAAGTGAGTCAGGCTTGTATCCTTTTACCATACTTATTCAATCTGTATACTGAGCAAATAATCTGAGAAGTTGAACTCTATGAAGAAGAATGTGGCATCAGGATTGCAGGAAGAGTCATTAACAACCTGCCATGCTGAAAGTGAAGATGACTTGAAGCACTTACTGATGAAGATTAAAGACTATATCTTCCATATGGATTGCACCTCAACATACAGAAAACAAAAATCCTCACAACTGGTCCAATGACCAGCATATGATGAATGGAGAAAAGATCGAAGTTGTCAAGCATTTCATATTACTTGGTTCCACAATCAACATCAATGGAAGCTTGTTGTTGTTGTTATGTGCCGTTGAGTCAGCCCCGACTCATAGCGATCCTTCCTTGGGTTTCTGAGGCGGTATCACTATGGAAGTAGATTGCCCAACCTTCCTTCCAAGGGAGGAGTGGCTGGTGGTTTTGAAACCGCCAGTTTTCTGGTTAGTAGTCAAGTGCCTTAGGCACTATGCTACTAGAGCTCCCAATGGAAGCAGCGGTCAAGAAATCAGACGTCATATTGCACTGGGCAAATCTGCTGCAAAAGACCTCTTTAAAGTGATGGCGAGCAAAGATGTCTCTTTGAGGACTAAGGTGCACCTAACCCAAGCCATGGTATTTTCAATGCCTCATATGCCTTTGAAAGCTGGACAATAAATAAGGAAGATTGAAGAAGATGTGATGCTTTTGGTATGTGGTATTGGAGAATAATCCTGAACATTCCATAGCCTGCCAGAAGAGCTAACAAATCTGCCCTGGAAAAGTGCAGCCAGAATGCTCCTTGGAAGCAAGAATGGCCAGACTTTGTCTCACTTACTTTGGCCATGTTGTCAGGAGGGACATTTCCCTGGAGAAGGATATCATGCTTCCTAAAGTGGGAGCTCTGGTAGCATAGTGGCTAAGGCACTTGACTGCTAACCAGAAGGCTGGCGGTTCACACCTACTAGCCACTCCTCGGAAGGAAGATGGGGCAATCTACTTCCGTAGTGATCCTGCCTCGGAAACCCAAGGAGGGGTCACTATGAGTCGGTCCAACTTGATGGCACATAACAACAACAACAACAACAACAAAGTGGAGGGTCAGTGAAAAAGGGGAAGGCCCTCAACGAGATGGATTGACACAGTGGCTGTAACAATGGGCTCAGGTATAGCAAGCATTATGAGGGTGGCGCAGGACCGGGCAGTGTTTCGTTCTGTTGTACATAGGTTTGCTATGAGTCAGAGTGGACTAGACAGCACCTAACAACAACAACAATGACAACATGAAGCATAAGTGAAGTAGTGGGTGAGGCACTTGGGTACTAGCCAGAAGTTTAGCAGGTTAAACCCATGAGTTGCTCTGCTGGAAGAAGATGAGGCAAACTACTTCTGTAAAGATGTACAGCCTTTGAAACCCAATGGGTCCAATGGGTGTCACTATGAGTTGGAATTGACTTAGTAGCATTTTTTTTTTTTTTTTTTTTTAATGAGGCATCGGAGGTTCTGTGATAGAATCTTCAGGTTTCATGCAGGAGGCCAGGGTTTGATTCCTGATCAATGCCCCTTATGCAGCTACCATCACTCCCTCAGTGAAGGCTCATATGTTTTGATGATGCTGAATAGGTTTTAGCAGAGCTTCCAGACTAAAGATACATTTGGAAAAAAGACCTGGAGATTTCCTTTTGAAAATAAACCAATAAAAACCCTACAGATCACAATAGTTTGATCTGCAACCCATCATGGGAATGTGCAGGACTAGGTGGCATTTGATTTTTCGTGCATAGGGTCACTATGAGTAGGAGGCCAACTGAACAGCAGCTAACAACAGCAATAAAAACATTATTTCCCAAACATTATGTGAAGCACCACTCACTTTCACTGCAGGATCTGACTTGAGAGGCACAAAGGATCTGACTCAGTTTACTTCTGCAGCAGCTCCTTGATTACTCCTTACTTCTTAGGTAGCATGGCTCAATGGAAAGTGCATAGGTTGACTTTCTAGTCAAATGGACCCAGTTCCACCACTTACTAACACTGTGATCTTGGGCAGGTTATTTAACCTCTCTGTGCTTCAGTTTTAAATTCATCATATGGGCATAGTAAATCGTCCCTTGCATGGTTCTTGTGTAGTATAATAGCAGTAACAATTGTAAAGTGCCTGGCATGTTTGTCATGTTTTCAGTGTTAGTTTCTTGCCTTTCCCCTGCCCACCAGCTCTTACTTGCCACCTGAAGACTAGTTTACCAACGTGCTATCACTGCACTTTTGCAAGAATCAGAATTACTTTGTACATATACAAGGATAACACAGATACATTTTAGCTAAGAAAAAGGATTATTCTCCCACATGGTATTACTAGCTTAGAAGAGCCTAAGCTATGTCCTGGAACATTACCATTCGGCATTCTACAAGCCCTAATTCCTCTTAGAGCAAAATAGTGAGAGAATTAAAAGCCACCACTATTTCATTTTGAGTCTGGTTTCTTTTTAGCCTAGGGATGTGGGCCCGGCTATAACTGGATATTTACTGTGGATAAGCTCCTTTGGGATAGCAGCTGGGCTTTACTTGCCTTTAAATTCTAGGACCTGGAACTTCTTTTATTGCTGAAATAAATGTATGTTGAATAAATAATTATTTTATTGAGTGTACTTGTATGCAAGAATGAAAATTCAATTATTTGATATACAAACAGTATATTTTGGTTGTATAGTATTTGCTGGGGCTCGATGTGGTTGGCTGATGCACAGTAACCATACTTTATGCCCTCTTGTGGCAGGAAAGGGAGGGTCTGTATTGGCAAGATGTAAGTAATCATCTGCCTTTCACATTCAGTTTTCTTTGCTTTTTTTGTCTCTTATCTCTTTCCCTCTAGACTGTAAATTCCTTGAAAGCAGAGATTATAGCTTATGTTTGTTGTCACCACATCCAATTTTTTGGTTTTTTGTGACACAAGTATTCAGTAGTATTGGTAGAATGGGTGAATATAGTGGCAAAGATAACTGGAAAGGAAGTTCATACTTTTGGACTTTTTCGTGATTTTGCAGATGAAGCTTCTTAGCTTTGTCCTGTCTCATCTGTTCTGATTTATATGTGTCTCTTCTATAACTCTGTTCCATTGAGCCTACCTTTGGATTTATTGTTTTTTAAGCTTATCCTTATAAACACCATGATTTGTGGGAAAGAATTTAGGCTTTCATATTAAACAGACCTAGATTCAAGTCCTTACTGAGTGTGTGACCTTGAGCAAGGTATGTAATCTCTTGGCGTGGGCTTCTTCAACAGTGAAGGTGAATGATAGTGACATATATTTGGCAGAGCTGTTTTGAAGACTGATTGAGTTTATGCATGTAAAGCACTCATTCACAGCAGGAGCTCCATAAGTAGTAGGTGTTTTTACTATTCGTATTGCAATTATCTTTACTCTTTTCCTCTTTATCCTAAGTATTTGTTCCTTCTCCTGTCAGAAATGCATTTTCTAATCTTGGCTATCTATTAGCAGTCATTGGATTGCTGGGGATTGATGGGGAATGGAATACTGTGAACTATCACAACCTCACTTCATTGGGACCCTTATATCATATCACTCTGGACATTGATAAAATAAAAGCCTTAGTAAGGAGCTGTCGTGGTGTAGTGGGTAAGGCATTTGGCTGCTACCAGAAGGTCAGTGGGAGCCCCGGTGATATAGTGCCTAAGGCAGTTGACTGCTAACCAGAAAGTTGGTGGTTCAAACTCACTAACCTGGGCATTCTACTTCTGTAAAGATTTATAGCCTTGGAAACACAATGGGGGTCACTATGAGTCAGAATCCACTTTATGGCAGTGAGTTTGGTTACTTTTTAGGCCAGTGTGTCAAACCCATCAGTGGCTCTGTTGGATGAAGATGAAACAATCTACTTCTGTAAAGATTTACAGCCTTGGAAACGCAATGGGGGTTGCTATGAGTAGGAATTGACTCAATGGCAGTGGGTTTTTTGGTTTTAGTAAGAATAACCACTATTTGTCCCCTTAAAATAATACAAGGATGAATGTCAGTTTTCAGGGGAAAAAGAAACAAAAAACTCACTGCCATTGAGTTGATTTGACTCACAGAGACCCTGCCTTGGGTTTCTGAAGCAGTATTATTATGGAAGTAGATTGCCCAACCTTCTTTCTGAGGAGTGGTTGGTGGGTTTGAACTGCCAGCCTTCTGGTTAGCATTCAAATGCCTCAGTCACTACACCACTAGAGCTCCCATAGCTCCCATATTTTAATTTATGATTTTTCATTCTTTCTCCATTTATTACAATAGATTCTAAAATATTGTTCTCACAATAGGACTATCATCTCTAGTACACTTAAGGACCATTTCACAAGTATTTTTTTTCCTGAAATAATTGAGTTTGCTGAAATAAACAACTCACCTCAGTATTTTTCATCTCCCTCTAATACAAATGTATTTAATTCCTATAAATATGAGTGAGGCCAGTCAGGAAATTAAACATATTTGTTTTCCACAGAGTATGTGAGCTATTAAGTTATGTTACATTTATTATAGATCATGTTTGCTATTTGGCAAGATAATTTGAATGATTGAGAACAATATTTTTGAACATGTAACAATGGAAAAACAACCAGAGAGCAGGATGAAGAAAATGTTCCTTATAATAGCTACTTCAAATAAAATATTCTATTGTGATTCAAGCACAAATTTGCATATACAATATGTCACTCTATATTATGCATACTGTTCATTTTCATGGCTCATATATGTATGTATATTTACCTCAAATAAGTATTATTTATATCACTTAATCTTTTCATCTGGACTGCCAGTAATGTATGCATGTATTCCTATTATATCTTCCTTCCAGCATCAAATATGTGGATGTTTTCTTGGCTTTGTGCCATTTTAATTATGCTGGTTATTGCAAATATGAACACAATTGCAAAGACCACACCATATACCAACTTTATGAAGAAATCTGAGGGAAAAGAGATGCCAAAGGGTATAAAGCCATCCAGTGGCCCACCAATGAAAGAAGAAGAAACCTCTTTCACTGAAATGGCAGAACCAATCACAGAACGCTTGCCCCTGGATTCTGTCTTTGGCACTGCTACCCTCTTCCCTTTTGAAAACTTCTCTCTTGATACAGCTGATTTCCTTTTGAAGTGTTGTGATTGTTGTTCTCCTGTACCAGGACAGAAAGGAGAACGTGGAGAGACTGGAAAACCAGGTAATTGAAGATATATAAAAATCTTACTTCTCATCTATGCATCTGTAGGGTTGAGGTGTAGATTGGAGGGTGAAATCTCTGTAAGAGTTTCTGCCTTGTCATAAGAGTGGAGACAAGCCAAGATGTAATATTGTGACAAGTGCAAATGGGTGCTGTGCAGTTTAATATGGTAGTTACTGGCCAAATGTATAAAGGAGCTGTGGTGGTGCAGTGCTTAAGGCATCTGACTGCTAACCAGAGGTTGGTGGTTCAAACCTACCAGCTGCTCCATGGAGGGAAAATAGGACAATCTACTTCCATAAAGATTTACTGCCTTGAAGACCCAGTGGAGGTCACTATGAGTTGGATTCAATTCCATGACAGTGAGTTCAGTTTGGTTTTAGCCAAATGTGTGATGCAGTGGTTAAGTACTTTGCTGCTAACTGAGAAGCTGGTAGTTCAAACCCACCAGTCACTCTGGGGGAGAAAGATGTGGCAATCTGCTTTCATAAAGATTGTTGGAAATATTATGGAGCAGTTCTACTCTGTCCTATAGGGTCACTATGAATTGTAAACAATTTGACGGCAATAGGCTTTTTTTTTTTTTTCCATTTAGCCACATGTGGCTATCGATATTAACATCAAAATTTAACAAGATGAAGAATTGAATTCCTCAGTCACATTTCTGACATTTCAATTGCTCAATAGCCACACCTGGCCACTGGCCATTGTATTGGGCAGTACAAACCTACAGCATTCCTTTATTCCAGAAAATTTCAATGGACAGTGCTGGGTAGAGCAAAGATTGAGTCCACCAACCCCAGCATTAGTGCTGTAGTTCTTCGAGCTACACATATCAACTACCAGTACATTCTTTTCACTAATGGTTGATTTTAAAAGGGTAAATGAAAATTTTGTTCTCTAATAAGAATTAGTGTTGACGGATGGATATTTGGAGTGCTATTTGTCATTGGGATTAGAAATGGAATGCCTGTGAGGTGGAGAATACAGAATTCAGTTTACTCCTCATTGAAATTCTGAAGCAACACTGTATCCTTGCCCAGCAATTTTCTCCATTAAAAGCCATGGTTATGCATCTCAAAATTTCAAATGTCTTTAATATATGCATAATGAATGTACTCTCAGTTTTACTGTAATGCATTCAGCTTTTACATGTCATATACCAGAGGATTCAAGGTAAAATAAAGATCAAAATGTCAACTTCACATTGACTATTTCCTGAAAAAAGAATTTATGTAACTATTTTTCGTGTCTTGCTTGAAAAATCTCAACTTATAAAATCAGTGATTACATACCCTCATTAAGCTTTCCATTCATTCCATCTCAGTGGATGGGCCTTTCAGGAAATGTGCTGAATATTTATGCAGATCTGGATTAAAGGGTGAGGAAGCTCCACAGCAGTGTAGGGCACCGGGCTTTCAGGGGTACTAAAGCATTATTGGAAATGTTAATGAGATTGAGGAACTATACATATTTACCAGAACTTCTCTTAGGGAGAATACCATATCTCACTGGCAAGCTGCTTGAGGTGGAAGATGAAAACCTCAAGGACACGGCCAAGTAAACATCTTGTCACTAAACTGCCTTCTAAGGACTATGGGTTTTGTAACATCAGTGCTTTTGTTTTATCCAGGAGTAAATTTGGCTAGGCTGTTCTCAGTCTCTCCCCTAAATACAAGTCTAAGAAATATTTTCAATGGGTGTGATGTTATTAGCCTGTCTGGAGTGCTCATATGTCTTCATCTGACTGGTTCTGCTGTGAAGCACAGTATTTAGGAACCAAGATTGTCAAGTCCAACACAGTCTTACCTTACAGAAAATTTGTTACTTCTCTAAATCTCAATATCAAAATAGTAAAATGGAGTAAGAATGACACCAAATGCATGGAGCTGTTGAGACAAATGAAATAGTCCATGTAAGGACTCAATATGATACCTGGTATACAGTACACACTCAATGTTCAGTTTTATTTTTACAGGTAGTTGTGGTGGGTCTCATGGAATGTTCGGAATTGGATATGAAAACGTCCTGTTTTTGAGACCTACAGAAATATATTCATTCTGGCTTTGCCAATGTTTTTTAAAAAACACTGCTTTCTTTAATTTTTTTTTTTTTTAAATTTCGAGTTACATATCTAGTACAAATGCAACATTAAACAAACTTGATAAAAGAACATAAACCTATTCAAATGCAACTATTTTCATCATCACCTGTCAGTCTTATAATATGAACACACATAATATATATGCATACATCACATTTTTTATTATCTACTTTTTAAAATTACAAGTCTAAATTTGCCTTAGGCATTTGACTGCTAACCAGAAGGCTGGCAGTTCAAACCCATTAGCCGCTCCTTGGAAGGAAAGTTGGGCAATCTACTTCCATAGTGACACTGCCTTGGAAACCCACGGAGGGTCACTAAGAGTCAAATCCGACTTGATGGCAGTGAAATTTTTATTTTTTCCTGAATGAAAACGTTTTGATGTGTTCAGATATATCTAATAGCTAGTGAAGATAAATTTACATTCAAAATTTCATCTCCACTTCTCTCTTTATTTCAGTTATAAAAATAGCTACATAGTATGTGCCAAGTTTCTGGGTAGAACAAACAGTTAACGCTCTTGACTGCAAATTGAAAGGTTGGATGTTTGAATCCAACTGGATGCACTGTGGAAGAAATGCATTGAGATCTACTTCCAAAAAATCAGCTATTGGAAACCCTATGGAGGCACAATTCTACTCTGATGCACATGGAGTTGCCAAAAGTAGGGACTGACTTGGTGGCAGCTTGACTAGGCTTTGTGCTAAGAACTGTTAGGTACTTTATAGTATTTCAAATTTTGATACAAAATATTAAAATTATTACATTTTACCTAAGATTTAATCATATTTCAGAAAGTTTAGGGAATTCTAGAGGTTATATTACCTGGAAGTGTAGAATCTGGAGTCAAACCCTGTGTGCCTTTAAGGTCCAGCTCTTCCCATCATGTTCAATTTATGGTATTTACACTAATCCACCCCAGGTGTACATCTCACCTGGATGTAAAGGGCAGCCTCCCTGTCCCTGTGCCCTTGTGTGTAGCTGCTATTTGCTCCCTGTGGCACAGCTCCTTGTCTTTTCCTTCAAAAGTATAATCACATGGAGCATTTGGAGGCAATTAAGAAGGGGAGACATTGTAAAGTGAAAAGTAACCAGCTATCTTGGTCAACCTCTGCTCCCTTTCCTCTGTTTTCTTTCTTTATTTCCGTCCCCTTGTCTTTTACTGACAGAGGATTTTAACAACACCTTTGGTTACTGGAGGCTGCCTTTGACCTTAATCTCCATCACAAGTGATTTATTAAACTCTGTTACAAAAAAAATACTATGTTCTTCCAAAGAGGAGTTCTGTTGAGTATATTTTTTTTCCATTCCATCAATCTTAATTATAATAATGAGGGTGAAACTAAGATGAAGTACTATTATTTCATTGAGTACATTTACCTATATAGTTCACTTTTTCAAAATCTGGATATTATTCAGCACCTGATTTTATTGGTAACTTGTGTCAGTGAGGTGCAAATGGGAATGTCCAGTGCCACTGAAACCCAAGCAGAGAGTCCACTGATGCTGCAGGAGGGCGGGCCCAGGGAGGTGCGTCCACAGCGGGTCACCGAGTAGGCTTGGGTCAGCTTAGTGGCAGTGCTTGACTTTATCAGTAATACTGGGACCACAGATTACTAGCTGGCACTCTCCTGACTCCAGTGCTACTGAAACCGAGTGGATCTTTGGTGCTGTGGGTGTACCATGGAGGCAGGAAGTTGTCTTGGGTCAGCTTTTTGGTGCTGAGGGGCCTCAGGAGCAGGGTTTTTGCATGTGTCTGAGCTTGGCAGAAAGTGGCAACCCCCTAACAACTGGAGTTTTTGCTGAAATTGATTTGTGGCCCTGTGAATAAAAGTACAACATCATCAGCAGCAGCCCACTCAAAGCCCTAGAAATCACTCCTAGCAACAGTGAGCTTTCCTTCTTCCATTCCCAACTACTGCATCAATAACTTCACTCATCCAGTGGGAGAAACCACATTCATCCTCCATAAAAGCTCCCAGTTCAAACTCTAAACCCTCTTTATGACAAACAGAAACCCATATCCACATTCCACACAGTGATTCCACCATCACAAAGAAAACTGCAGAGCAACCCAGCATACCTGAATTAATAACTCAAAAAACAAAATACACCAGCTTCACCTTTTCAAGATATTAAACCGTAAAACCAAGACAAAACAAATCAATACATAACCAACAGTTAAAGACAACATCAAAATGTCCAGGGAACAATAAGCAACCTCAAATCAGACAACAACAACAACAAAACAGGACAAGACATTAGAAAAAAAAAAAAAAAAAAAGCTCTCATTAAACATGAAGGAAGAGGAGACAATAGAATTATCTGAGAAGGAATTTAGAAAATACGTTTATAGAGCTTCATAAGAGCCTAAGGAAACTCCAAACAGAAACAAGGAGAACACAGACAGTTCCCTGGAAAAACTCAGGAAAATCATTCAAGAACAAAATAACAAGATTAATGCACAATGAGAACTCATACAAAAACAGCAGTTAGACATCCGGAAGATGAATACCAAAATTACAGAATTACACAACACAGTAGAAGCACAAAAGAGTAGATTAGAACTGGTTGAAGAACAGATATCCCAAATAGAAGACAAATCTCTGGACACCAACCTGTATGAAGGAAAATCAGAACAAAGATTTAAGAGAAATGAAGAGAACCTAAGAATTACATGGGATGCCATTGGTAGAAACCACATAAGACTAACTGGAATTCCAGAACAAGAAGAGGTGAAAAAAACCACCAAGAAAATTGTGGTTGTTGTTATGTGCCTTCGAGTAGGACCTGACTCATAGCAACCCTTCCTTGGGTTTCTGAGGCAGTACCACTATGGGAATAGATTACCCCATCTTCCTTCCAGAAATTGTGGAAGACCTGCTAACAGAAAACT